AGATGTAAAATCATATTGAATAAAAGGTAATAGAATGTACATAAAACAGAACTTCATGGGAACTGTTTTATGTTTGTTGAAATACTATTCACATAATTATGATATATTCTTTGCTACATTTTTTTTTCGGTAAAAACAAAAATAAGAAGTCATTCATCCTTCGAAATATACATTTACCACACATACATGCATGCAAGTTACTTTCATATTTTCTTTTATAGGATGATGCTTATTTGATATTCTGTGACAGAGAGTTGTGATATTATAAGCTTGGGAAAAACAAGTTTGCATTAAACAGATTCAAAATTAGAAAATGCTGTACAATGCAGAAAAATACAAATTTGAAAACAAATACTAGCGCAGTGATCAGTATAATATAACATCTACACCCATCCCTCCCCACCCCACTCCACCCGCGAACCCTCCTCCTTGAACATGTACAGAAACTAACATGGACAATATCTTATATTCTAATATTTTCCCTTCTTTTCTAACATGCTTTACACATTCAGCCACGATATGGTTTAATGCTCCTTCGTCTTCTCCGCATCGCCTAGTAATTCCATTTTTAGAACAAAAACGGCTTATTGTTCGCGCTGATACATGCTTGATTCCTAAAGAAGTCAAGTGTTGAGAAATGTATTGGTGTGTTCTTCCGTCAAGTATCATTTGTTGAATCAAACATCGATGGTCTAAAAGTTCTTCCATTCTTACAACATGTACATGTATGTGAACAAGTGACTTCTTCACTTCGAGAGAACTAAATTAAAGATTTCAACCCCGACAATTCAAAGAAAGAAAAGACAAAGATAAACAAAAGTCAGATAGATAGACAGATAGATAGAAACAATGAATGACAGATTGATAGATCGAAAGATAGATATAAACATGTAGCTACAAAGACAGCTAGATATATAGATAAAACGAAAGAATGATTTTTTGTGGTCATTATCGTACTTGTCAGTGTACCATTCTTGTTCGGAATTTGTTGATACCACACATAGTTCACACACACACACACACACCTTAAAAGGATCTTCAAGATATTGCGCTTAAAACAAGAAAAAAGAAAACGGAAATAGTAAAACATTTAATAAAAAGTGTCAACAATTTAAACATATAAAACGCCTATATTGAAACAAATTACATTTCATTCTCATTATTAGACATTTAAATAGTGAAAATTTTTCAAATTTGAATATTGCACAGCAAAATGAAAAATGAAAAATTGGAACATTTTCATTTTTCAATATCAAACGTCAAATTGAAAAATGCTCCACGTTGGAGCATTTTTCATTATTGTTAGTTGAATTGAAAAAATGCTCCACGTTAGAGCATTTTTCATTTTTCAATATTGTAAGTGAAATTGAAAAATGCTAAAGGTCAGCAAAATCATTTTTAACACAAACTTATTGATATTTGCTTCAATATCTTCGTGAAATCAAAAATATAATTTCATGAAAATAACAATTTTCAAATCTCATAGAGAAAATGGTTTTTCGAAAGTGACTTCAATAGATTTTTGTTACATTTTTCAAACCACCTACCTTTAAAAGTTGCAGAACAATTTGTAAAATCTATTTTTCATCTTAAAATGAAAAATGGTTGGCGTGAATGTACACGGACGACCTTAATTGTCAATGCAAACAAGAACGGAGTTCTCCGTGGGTCCGTGTATATTTGCGTCCATTCGTTTTTCATTTTGAAATATCAAAAACAAAAAACAAAAACGAGAGTGTTTTCATTTTTCGTTTTTGATTTCTCAAAAACCAAAACGAAAAACAAAAGTGTTTTCATTTTTCGTTTTTGATTTCTCTAAAACCAAAACGGAAAACGAAAGTGTTTTCATTTTACGTTTTTGATTTCTCTAAAACCAAAACGGAAAACGAAAGTGTTTTCATTTTTTTTGTTTTTGATTTCTCTAAAACCAAAATGAAAACCCAAAGTGTTTCCGTTTTTCGTTTTTGATTTCACTAAACAAGAATTTTGTATTTAATTTTGATTATTTCTCGTTTTATAATGTAAAATGTTTTCCTTTCTTGTTTCACAGTCATTGATAGTAAATAATGCCAATGTAAACACCCCGGTGTTCTTTCAACATAATGTAGACAAAATAGACCGCCTGACTTATGAATTGAACTACGGTGATAAATGAATCAAAGCCTTTCAAATTACCTTGTTTATATCTTTAATAAAAAATAAATTATTATACTTAAATATTAAACGAATCATAAATTTAAATTGTACAATATAATATTATATAAAGATGGTACAAATAAATAGATTGATTACAACATCACATTAACAAGGGAGGTTACTACTTTTTAAAACTTATAAGAAAACTACCCCGGTCGTTAAAGTGTACATGCACAGTCACTGTGGTTATCAGATCTTTATTCGAAGATAATGTCGACGGATGCAAAAGACTTTATCAATCTGAACAATAAGGGTGCGTGATCTTTACTTTTAAATTTTGAACGGTTGATCTCAGATGATTAGAATTCATAACCTAGGTCTATTATACGAACATTCAGGACGATAATGTGTTTTCCTTGATCAATTGATTGAAAAACAAATTTCCGCAATTTCACAATTCAAACCGGGATTAGCATTCAATCATTTTGCCATTCGGAGCCTACTCGGTATTAATCTTGCTTATTTTTGAAAGCTATATGGTGACCTTAACTAGAGCCTGGGTGTACGGAATAGAGAATAGTGGGCAAAAAATATAAATAATAGAGACAATGGACCAAGAAATAAAAAAAAATAGAATAATGAGGCGTTAAAATATAAAAAGAATAGAATAATTGGCAAAAAGTATAAAGAAATAAACATGATAAAGAATAGAAAAAAATGGCCTGAAACACTGATTAAAGAATAGAGAAAAATGAAATAGAATATCAAAGAATATAGAAATGAAGAAATACGCATCAAGACCATCATACTAGTTGCCTAAACCAACGTTATTTTGTCTCCGGTAGAATGTTATTGGTTTTCATACGTTTTCTTTTTATTTCTATGCCTATCAATTAAGACATGAACTTTCATAGTTTGCCAGCTTATTACATTAAAAAAAAGACTAAGCCGAACATCACTCTGGATTTTTTCTCAAGTAGACCTCAGCTACCCAACTTCCCTTTGCACCTAGTATTGCCGTGGATTTTTTTTTATTAACATTTCGGTAATGGTGTGGTAGGGTAGGTAGCTGAGGTCCACTTGAGAAAAAATCCAGAGTGATGTTCGGCTTAGTCTTTTTTTATAATGTAGTAAGCTGGCAAATTATGAAAGCTCACGTCTTAATTGATAGGCATAGAAATAAAAAGAAAACGTGTGATAACCAATAACAATCCACCGGAGAAAAAATAACGTTGGTTTAGGCAACTATGATGATGGTCTGGATACGGGGTTCTTCATTTCTGTATTCTTTGATATTCTATGCCGGTTTTCTCTATTCTTTAATCAGTGTTTCATGCCATTTTTCTCTATTCTTTATTTCTTTATACTTTTTGCCAATTATTCTGTTCTCTTTATATTTTAACACCTCATTATTCTAATTTTTTTTTTATTTCTTGGTCCATTGTCTCTATTATTCATATTTTTTGCCCACTATTCTCTATTCCGTAAACCCCTATCCACACCCAGGCTCTAGTTAAGGTCACCATATAGCTTTCAAAAAATAAGCAAAACTAATCATTACCGAGTAGGCTCCGAATGGCAAAATGATTGAATGCTAATCCCGGTTTGAATTGTGAAATTGCGGAAATTTGTTTTTCAATCAATTGATCAAGCAAAACACATTATCGTCCTGAATGTTCGTATAATGGACCTTGGTCATGAATTCTAATCATCTGATATCAACCTTTCTAAATTTAAAAGTAAAGATCACGCACCCTTATTGTTCAGATGAGTTGATAAAGTCTTTTGCATCCGTCGACATTATCTTCGATTAAAGATCTGATAACCACAGTGACTGTGCATGTACACTTTAACGACCGGGGTAGTTTTCTTATAAGTTTTAAAAAGTAGTAACCTCCCTTGTTACTGTGATGTTGTAATCAATCTATTTATTTGTACCATCTTTATATAATATTATATTGTACAATTTAAGTTTATGATTCGTTTAATATTTAAATATAATAATTTATTTTTTATTAAAGATATAAACAAGGTAATTTGAAAGGCTTTGATTCATTTATCACCGTAGTTCAATTCATAAGTCAGGCGGTCTATTTTGTCTACATTATGTTGAAAGAACACCGGGGTGTTTACATTGGCATTATTTACTATCAATGACTGTGAAACAAGAAAGGAAAACATTGTACATTATAAAACGAGAAATGATTAAAATTAAATACAAAATTCTTGTTTAGTGAAATCAAAAACGAAAAACGGAAACACTTTAGATTTTCATTTTGGTTTTAGAGAAATCAAAAACAAAAAATGAAAACACTTTCGTTTTCCGTTTTGGTTTTAGAGAAATCAAAAACGAAAAATGAAAACACTTTTGTTTTTCGTTTTGGTTTTTGAGAAATCAAAAACGAAAAATGAAAACACTCTCGTTTTTTGTTTTTTGTTTTTGATATTTCAAAATGAAATACGAATGGACGCAAATATACACGGACCTCCGTGGCCATCTCGATTGAAAATTGGCATACTTTTACCTGAGATTTTTTGTTATTCTCAAAATCTCTGATTTATGAATTGAATAATCACTAAATGAGTTGTCAGTTGTTAATAATGTATATGTCATACCGTTATTCCATTTTGATATCTTATAAACTTGTTGCGATATCTTATGAATTAAATAACATATATATTTTAATACTTTATAAGATATCTTATGTAGTTAGATATATATCTTATTCTGGTTATGATATGAGGTATCGTATTTAGATATATAAATAGCACGTACATTTTAAAAGATGTCTTATGAATTTATATATATATTTATAATGATTTTACCGAAACATTTCATAAAGAATTGATTTGATACTTTTCAGATGTTAACGTTCAAAAGGAAACGCAACAGCAATCTCAAGAAAGTACAGAGAACGTGCAGAGCCAAGTTGCTGTCATTTGTCAATACGAGATACATGGAATCAATGCAAATGATATTTTTAAATATATCGTCACGACATTTGGTGGAGGTTGCACTTTTGAAAAGTTTTTTATCCGGTGCAAGTTCTTTCCTGAAAAAGCCAATATCTCTTTGTGGTTTGAAAAGCATACTTCGAAATTTCGTATTTTCAAAGATATGAGCAAGTTAGTTTATATTTTGCCGTATCTTGAGAACAGTAGCGTTTGCTTCCATTATAATAATGTTCACGAACCAGGGGTTTGTAAAGAAGCAAATTGTACGCATTTCCACATTTGTCGACGGTCAGTTAGAAATAACGCTTGTACATATAAAAAGTGTACATTAGCTCATGATTTTACAAACGAACACAATTTAAAACTTAAAAAGCAACTTGAACTGGATACTTTACAAGATAATCACATAAAAAATGTTTTAAATAGTCGCTATCCTGCTATTTGCAAGACATATTATTTTGCCCAAGGACATTGCAGATTAGGTGTGAAGAAATGTCCTCACTTGCATTTTTGCGGATTATACAAATTTGGAAATTGCAAAGAACCTTGTAAACTCAACTTGAGTCATAATCTGCACACTGAACATAATGGATGGGTGCTTAACGCATTCGAAATGCGTCACTGGCCGGAGGAAAAAATAAAGAAAAAAGTGTATGTCCCATCAAAGACAAGTCAAGATTCTGATAGCAGCAGTTCCAATGAAAAACCTCGCAATGGAAGAAATGTTGGGGTTATCGATGCTGAAGATTCAGATTGCGATGAATTTCACAAAGGAAGTGATTTTGTTGAATAATTGATTGCCACTTTAATGGTAAATCGGATTCCAAGAGAGTTTATAAAAGTTTTTGGCTATAACATTGACATAGATCTTTAAAAGTAAAACAAAATAGCAACATTCATTTGTTATACAAAAAGTAAATAGATATGATGTGTTTAGACAATAAATATTACATGTGTACAATAAATTCAAAATAAAACTTTTCAGAACGTGATATTCGCACTGGCTAGGTATAAACTGGAAGCTTTTAGTATGAGTATAATGCGTTGTTGAGTCGACTGACCTATATCAAACATATAGACACATGAATGTCATGTGCAAATCCTCATTCTTATACCTTTATCAATTTGAAAATCAAAATGCTATAATGCAATGTCTATTTTCTTTTTTCTTTATTCAAAAAATGCATAGGATCCCATGTTATATGGTGCAATATCCTCCTATCATCGCGATTTGTGCTTAGTGCTATAAATAAATTGTTACAATAACTGTGAAACATAAATTAAAAGAAAACATATCTAGTAGGAATACAAAATAAGGAATCGAACGATATAGAATTATGCGAAACACTTAGTTTTTATTTTTCTTCTAAATTCCGTTTTGAATTTGTTCTTAAACTATATATTTGATTTTGCCTTACAGCTATTTTGATTCGAACCGCACAAATTTGTATGATGTTGACAAAACCCGCGTCTGCCGTTACTTTTTATGCCTTTTATCTTAAATGAATTTATGCCATGTTGGGACAAAAAAAAAACATACACTACACGATAAACCTCAAACCATAACACTAAAACTATCAATTGAGAAACAAGCCCCCAACAAAACTGAAGAAAAACTTAGGGGCTACAGAAAGGTAAGAAATTCTTGCACCTCCAGCGACATATGTCTTGTTAACCAGTTTTGGTAATCCGTGACACTTGTTTTCTCATGTAAAAATTCAATGAAATGTCATAAGACATCATGCCTTATGTCCACTCTATGATGTTACATTTTATATATTTGATATATTGCACCAATATATGCAGTATTATTATTTAGATTTGTAACAATAAATCATAAGCGGTTTGAAAGATTTGAATAAAAACTAAAAACAGTTTAAATAAAAATAACACTATAAATTTATTGGTGATCAAAATTTAAACAAAGATGCAAGCGATAGAAACAACACAGAAGTTAAAATATAAATTTCATAATACAATTTAAAATGTTATGGTGGCTCCCTAGTAGCTAAGAAAATGAAAACAACACGTTATAAATGTCATTCGTTCGAAGCGCTTTCCTGGATTTACCTTCATCAGGAACGCTCAAAGCCAAATATTGGAAAGCCAAGGATGTATAAGGATCGAAAACGTCGAAGAGCTATCAACCAAAAAGGACTTAAAAAATACCCAAATCTATCTAAGGCCAACTTTGCCTGAGGGAGTTGAATTCTGCATAATTTCAAAATTTATAAACGGTCAATTTTAGATAATTTGTTATAAATCATGTCAGTATCGAAGTACTGACTACTGAGCTGATGCTACCCTTGGAGACTGATAGTCCACCAGCTGAGGTATCGACTCACTGCTGCAATAAATGAAAACAAGATGTGTTGTTAACGACGATTGAAAAACGGTTAAAAGTCGTACCAAATTTTAACCCCTAATACAAAACTCATCAAAGATCATAAAATTTCATCAAAGATTCTAGGCTTATAATTTTGTATGCCAGACGCGAGTTTCGTCTACATAACACAGGACCAGGACAAGATTACGAAATGTGGTAATTAGAACTTAATTTGGTCATACGTGACACTTATTTTCCGTAACTATCAATGAAGTCACGATTGCTTATGCAAAGTATTCTTTGAAATGACTTCACCTTTAACATTAAGAACCATTTAATTGTTTCAATATGAGCCAAAAGGAACTGATTGATATATGTCCATGCTATAACCCAAAATACACAAAAGTAAAAGCCATTTTGGGGTCAACTCATGGTCTTCAAAAACAGACAGCTATTGAAATTAAAAGACATTTATTTTTCGAGATTAATAGAAAGGCTTATATTTGTACCTGCAGGCTGGAAATTTTATACTTTCTTATTAATGTCTTGTCGTGCAATGTTGAAAGTCCTGAAAGCCTGAAGGGAAAGTGACAACATCGAGATCTTCCGAAACCAGTTTTCTGACCGTCATCTATTCATTCTATTTTCAAATCGATAAAACTATCGGTAAATAAATGTCTTTTAATTTAGATAGCTATCTGTATTTATGCACTTTTGAACGGTTGAATTATCGTGTAATAAATATTTGTTAAGAACCTATCAGCTGTTTATCTATAAATATTAACCTATGCCTTTCTACTTTCACTTCTGTTTTTAATGAGCCTGTAAACCATCACAAGGAAGTCACTAAATTGTATTCAACTATATTCATTTTTACAAAGCAAATAGAGTACTTTTCATAGTGAAACAAATTTTGTTATGATTTTCTGAAAATCTGTACGAAATGTAATACCGTTTAATATGTATGTCAATCTATACAGTGTTAAATGTGTCATTCACTGAATAAGAATGAACAAGAATTTTTTTTTTATAAATTCAACAGGTAAATTCAGGTAGATTCAATGTATACCGCCATCTTGTGTTGTACAATAGCAGTACATAATCGGTCTAGTTGTTTGCCTAAATGTGTAAATTTGAGACAGATTTGCAATTCATGTATAAGAATGTTTATTTGTATACAGAAAATTAATGGTTTACCGTATTATTCAAAATGTTTAAACAAATACCAAATATTTGTGTCTTTGGAATCAATTTTTCAATTTAGCCATTTAAGGTGAGATAAATCTTACAGTAAAAGTTTTATACTGGAATGATAGTGAAATTTTCATTTTTTACTTGTATCAAGAAAACAGGTTCAGTGACATCTATTTTTATTTTTATTTTCTTAAAACATATTATAAAACCTATCTCCCCATATTCTATTTCAAAATTTTCTCTCATGGATTTCTTTTATTCGCAAAAATATGTTTTTTCATGAACAATCTAGGCAAATTTGGGCAATTTTGCATGACTTGTAGCTTGAAAATAGCACGGTGACCCATACTTTTTATTATATTTTGAAAAAAAGCATGGTAAAATCTTCATTTTGGAAAAGTATAAGGAAATTCTATTTGGAAAAATATATACCGATGATCCACCTTAAGTAAATTTAAGCAATATATCAAGAAAAGCCAAAAATGTAATTCTCAATTCGAGTTCTTAAACATACTAAAATATATGCTGCCAAGAATAAAAATTTTATTGTTAAACACTCACGACAGGTCAACGGGTCATGTCACAGATTATTTTCAAATTTTGCATGTATTTAGTATGTGGTATGTTCAACTTGAACTGAAAATCGAAAATAATCATTCATTTATCCTTCGACTATGACATTGATGGTAGTAAAACCCATCGATCAGTTAAGATTTCATTGACCCGATAGCGGATTGATTTATTATTATGATTGACAGCACATGATAAGATAAGGTTTCGATTCATGTCAACAATACAGTTCAGCAAACATGTCAGCGTGTTAACATTCTTGGATTTAAAATTTACAAAAAAAAAAAGAATTAAATAAAAGAAATAAAAATATATCAATGAAAAGTTAATATTAATAATTTGGATACATCTATTAGAATGAAATTTTACGCAGGAAAACGTAATGCCGATTAGAATATAGTTTTTCTTAATGTTATCTAAGTCATCGAATTGATTTCATATAGTAAATGACGAATACATCTTTATTGTTAAGGCATAAAAACTAATAGATATTCACATCGTGTTGAAATAACAATTATAGTCGAAATGTCAGTGCTTTACTTGACCTATAGAAAACAACGTTCGTTTGGAAGGTCAATAATTCATAACTTATCCTATTATGGAGACATACTATATTAACTTGGTAGCTATTTTTCCTAACATCAGTCAACAACAAATTATTGATTTTTTATTTTAGTGGTCCTGGGCTAGTAGTTTAATACTTCACACCATGTATACCAGTTCTGTGATTTGGAATATTTACACTTACAATCTTGTGTCTTTTTATTGACATCATTCAGAGTTTTAGAATAAACTGAACTCATCAAAGATACCAATCTATAATTTTGAACGCCAGACGCGCGATTCGTCTAAAAAAGACTCATCAGTGACGCTCGAATAAAACAAATTAAATAGCCAAATAAAATACGGAGCATTGAGCGCTAAAGAAATCGAAAGGTTTTGCCAAATGCAGTTTAGTAATCTATTCCTGAGGTAAAAAAAAAAGTTATTGTCACTATAGATCGAGTCATTTCCATGAACATTTCAGCACAATCATTTCAAGTTTTCAAATTTCTGAACGTATACTTTGAAACGTATTCCTGCCCTCCAACGAAAAGTTTATCCTTCACAAAATATGCTTTAACATTTTGATCACGTTATCGTTTTGGTGTCGGTAATTTTTCCTTTCTGCGTTTCTTGATCTCTCCGAAATTCCAATATTCCACTCTTTAAAGTTTTTTCACCAGATTTCGATAATTAAACGAAGCAATTAAACGAGAATAGGTATAATCTGTTCACCATTTATGTCCAAACGGTATGAATCTGTAATATGTAGTATATCCGAATTTCCGATTTCAAGTTTTTCGTGGCAAAATGCGCTGATTGTTTCAGAAACTGTAGTTTCAAGCATGATATAGAATATAAGATTGTTACACATTGATTTTATTTGATCTGGAATCAACTCGTTCTGTAGTCTATCATTATTCTTTTTCATGACATTGAGAGATGATTTAATATTATGAACCACTTTGGGCACTTTAAAGTATTACTTTTTAACTGTTTTGATATTTTATCTAACTGTGTTTTTAAATGGGCATGTTTTTAATTTGCGTATCGTGAGCGTTACTCATCAACTATGTACGCCTCTCTACTTGATCAAAGTGATCAACTAACGACTTTGCACTGCGCACAACGTTTGCGTTCCATGAAGAAACAAATGAGTCTATTTGGTCAGGTACATTAAGTTTTGTGTCCATTTTGTCCATTCTCTGATATAGTTTATTGATTAAAACTGGGCGCCGTTATAAAGTTGTATGTTGGGTGAAGGATAAAATATTCTGTATGGGTGTTTGGTGAATTCCTTGATTCGGGCTTGGGCATCACTGCTGGTTTTGAATCGGAAACATAGAATTAAGGCCTGGA